CTTAGCTCTCTACTGGCCCTGGAATCGCTTAACATTAGTTCTCATCCTGTTCTCATCGATATTCAACACCAATTGGCTCAGTTTTCGTTATCTTCTGCTTCCTTCCAGTTTTTCTGGATCTCTGGCCACGTCGGTATTCACGGGAACGAGCTCGCTGACACTGCAGCTAAGTCTGTCTGCTCTGGTGCCATCACGGCCGTGCCTGTCCCATACATGGACTACGGTCCTGTCTTCAAGGTGCGGATTCGTGCCAGTTGGCAGTCGACTTGGAGTGAGCAATGCCATAATAAGATTTTCAAGATCAAACCTTCTGTTGGTCTTTGGCCGTCATGCTTCCGTAAGGATCAGAAGGAGGAAGTAGTCCTGGCAAGGCTACGCATTGGTCATAGTTTTTTAACCCATCGTTTTCTTTTATCGGGTATTGACCCACCGATGTATAGCCATTGTGACACTCAAGTCACAATAGCCCACATTTTACTGTCATGCCGTCGTTACAACCGTGAGCGGCGGCATCATTTTAGACACATTTTATCTAAAAGTTTACCCCTGACGCTGGACAGTGTCATTGGTAATGGTGACACTGTCCGATTAGATTGTATTTTTAATTTTTTACACACTATAGGTATTTTTAATTCTGTGTAAATCTTTTAGCGACATGTATTGGTTTTAACTCACTGTATATTTACATTTTACATTAATTTACTTTCTTTGTTTTTACCGGTTGTTTGGCGCAGATAGCCTTGCTGCTTTGCGCCATAAAACACCAATCAACCAACCAACCACTACAACAAATACTAAATATGAGGCAAATACCTTTTGCAGAATTAAAAACAAAGCCTTATCACTGTCACGAAATGTCCAAAAGTCTTAATTGGACACTTCAGATCGTATATTTAAAATGTTAATTGGTTTGTAAATGAATATCATATAAAACATACTTTTGATTAATCGTCACATACATTTGTAGCCAACATTCGTAATGCTTCTTCATATTACTATAATATAATTCAAAGGTAACATAATATGAAAAACGTGTGATTAAGTTGCTCGTCGTTAAAATTGAATAATGCATCAGTAGCTAACCCTTTTACAACACTCAGAATTTGAATTCTTTGATAGAAAAATATATTGAACGTAACTTATATTTATATTAATAAAATATGTCTCTTAAAATTCAGATTGCAAGCATTAATCATATTGGATAATATTTTAATTTTAAACCACAAATAACTGGTTCAAGTTACATAACGACCCATATATTGAAATAACATTTAACTTCTAAGGGAATAATTGGTTTACATAACGACCCATATATTGAAATAACATTTAACTTCTAAGGGAATAATTGGTTTACATAACGACCCATATATTGAAATAACATTTAACTTCTAAGGGAATAATTGGTTTACATAACGACCCATATATTGAAATAACATTTAACTTCTAAGGGAATAATTGGTTTACATAATGACCCATATATTGAATTATAATTTAACTTCTAGAGGAATAATTAGTTTACATAATGACCCAATTCTGGGTCACGTGCAATCCAAATTCTATGATAAATATCTTATCTCTTGTAGCAGTGTAAAAATAAACCAATGTTGTTTTAGTCCATGTGTGATTCAGTGACGGGTATTATTTCAACTCAGTTAGCGCCATTTCAATCTCATCATATTTTCACTTTCGTTAATTGTAGAACCTTCTGTCACATATTCTAAAATCCACAACTACAAGTAACTAGGCAATAGTTCTTGTCATAACACTGACGAACTGGTAAACTGACACTATTCAAAGCTATAGATGCAATAATACTAGTGGTTCCTATCTTTGAGCCGAAATTATATCTTCTAGCTTTAAGTAACAAAATTCAACTTTAAGATTTCGTTTGAGATAGCTCGTTAATTAGTGTAGAAAAAATATACCGTTCTCTGAATTACAACACCTTCATTTTGTACTTTCTCCACCTGTTGCAAGTTTCAGTGAACGTTCAAACATGCCAGTCGTCGTATTGACGTTAGGTGTCGTTACTCCCGCATATTAAGATAACAAACTTACTAAATATAATGAAAGTAGTCCGATGTTCTCCGGTGAGACAGCGGTAAACTTACGGACTTACAACATTAAAATCCGGGGTTCGATTCCCAGCACTAGACATAGCTGATAAACCAGTGTGGCTTTGCTCTAAAATAACCAACCAACGCATTCCGATTTAAACGCACTGGTAAAATATTCTGAATCAATCACTCCAAAGGAAGCCAAAGTAGTCTAATTAACCAAACGTGTTGAATAATAGCTATTTACTTTTTCATTCCCATTTCTAAAAAAAAAATTTTTTTTGTAGCTGTGTATTTATATATCCACTGTCTATTTTATAACGATATAAAGCAGAGCTATGGTACCACTAGCTTTTATTAAATATATAATTATCTTGATTCTACTCTTGGTTAGTTGCTATGGGAACACTACTTTAAAAGTTTGAAGTTTCTACCTCCACTGAGTGTTTCTGAGTCGGCTCTGACTACTAAGTTGTGACCACGTCGAATAATCTGCAATGTGTGCCACTGGTCGTCATTCAATCTGTGACCCACGTGAAGGACCTAAAATAATAAATAGTTGCCCAACATTTATCAAAACTCTGATTTTTCTACTCGTCATAATCTACCATTTATTTTATTTTAAATTATTGTATAGGATAAACTAATCTTTCAAACCATCTCTTACCGATCGATTCATCCTTTCATCCATTGAAAGACCTACCATATTTTTATCTTCCAGGCTTAAGATGAAATTATGGAAACATCATCAAACATTTAGAACAATTCTGATGTTTTTTTTTGTGATATGTATCTGATATTTAACCTTATATTAAATACTTGGACAGATTTATCTAACCGTTTATCGAAAGAGGTACCTTATTTCCATCTCCTAAATTCAGGATAACTTTAATACTTCCAGATTCCAAGGCTACCACTAGATGGCTGACTGATTTTTCTAGTGTTGTCGCCAAGAGAAGACCATTTGGACGAGTTGTTCGAAATCTTAATCGGATGTCTTCGGCTTGAGTTCGAGAGATCTCGGGAATTTGAATTTTCATGTACTGCTCTCCATCAAAACTAAGGGTCGTGGCGTCTGAAAGAGAAAAATAGTATTTATTTTTTTTATTTCTATTTTACCAAGCTCACATATAAAACTCTGATGGTCAGTCAATACAGATTACGGATATTGACACAGGTGTTCTAACATCACTCTTTAAGTAAACAAATATACAAACCAATGGTTAGGCTTCAAGTCAGTTTATTTTTATCTACTCGAAACTACACACCATTTACCGAAAAACGTTGAACACGTAATTGTCAAACCTCCTTTCGGAGGAAGACAAGTACAAATAAACTATAAATAAAAAGATTCAGTTTCAGCATAAATTAACGAAGTCCTTAGGCTCAAAGAATATATATATATATATACATATATATATATAAAAGACTATTTTGAAATAGATCCACTGAGATTTGTTTTTCGTTGCTTAATTATATATAATAGATCATATTACTTAATATACTTAATGCCATATATCTATTTCTGTAGCCCCTCTCGGTGGCTCAGCGGTAAGCTTATAACGTTAAAAATTGGGTTTCGATACCTACGTTAGGCATAGCACATACAGTCCATTGTGTAGTTTTGCTATGAAGAACAAACAATTTCTGTAAAGTTTAGGGCCTAGCCTAGTGGTTAGAGCGAGCGACTCGCAAGCTACATATCGCGGGTTCGAATCCTATCAAAAACGGAATATGGTAGTCCTTTCAGCTGTGGGGGGTGTTATAATGTGACGGTCAATCCAATTTTTCGCTGGCAAAGAGTAGCCCAAGAGTTGGCGTTGGGTAGCGCTGACTACTTTTCACTTTTAAATTAGAGACGACTAGCACTTTAGCCATTGAAATTCAACAAAACAAACAAACTGCAACATTTAAAAACCAAAAACAGCTGTGAGTACAGTCTTCATGTTTTTCAAACATGTTATCATGGATGAAACATTTAAAGCGTTTTATCTCAAGCCTCAAAATTCAAATAAATGACAGAACATTTAATATCTTGAACTTGACGCATTTTGTTTTTATAAGCCACTTTCAGATGTAAGGTCTTGAGAACAAATGTCCGCATTCTTTTATTACTAATTGCAGACACTACAAAAATGAAAAAAAAGATCATTTCATAAATTGTCTCTCACCGTTTGGGTGTGGCCTAGTAGTTAGCGTGTCAGGCTGCGGGATCAGAAGATCCAAGTTCGTTCGTGATCCAGCTACGAGTGTATTAATATAGTGAAAGACGGGCAAAAGCCCTTGAGGCGGCGGATGCTGCTAAATTGCTACTTTTCCTTTGGTAATTAGTTCAACATTTCGGACGGATATACCTGAAACCTAGTTTGTTTTTATCTTGTATAACAAAAAAAAAGCTATCTTCGATACTCGATATCGTGATGTAAGCGATTTTACATTTCATCGAATCCGATATCATCACTAAATTTGATTAATTTTCCTCTGTTACACACATAAGTTGAAACAACAACAAAAACAAAACACTGATCTATCACGAGATGTCACGATTTAATATATTTTAAGTTATCCGGAATTTTCATCACTGACCGACTAAGTGTAGCAACATTTGAAATTCCTTCATATTGTTTTCAAAACTACTGTAAATTTTACCGTACCTATATTATTATTTTTCTAAAAAAAATTACAATAGGATTATAACAAAATAGGTTTTCAAGTCATCCAGTTAAGACACGTGATTTACATTATAAGTAGAAGCCACTACGACATTTGGTAATTTACTCTTGGGAACTGCGAGAATGAGACTAATCCATAGAAGCTCATTCATTTTGATTAATTATTACTCGTGAGTAATATATGTCTCGTACTGAACAATGTGAGTTGCCACACAAAATTAGATTCCTATATTATAATTAGACGTAATACATGCTATCATCTTATTTGCTCAGTCTGATAAATTAACCTACTTGCATTAGCCTTTCTGCCTCTAAGATAATTAGTGGTTTTCGTCTATTGTGAATAACAAGAACTTTGACGCTACGTTGTCCAGCAAATAAGATTAACTTATTCAACTAATTCATACACACACATATATGTTTATAGGGCAGAAACATACAACTGTGTTTCACGTGCGAGGGAGACTGTACGTGCAACCTTTTGCCAACGATTCGGGACTATTTTAAACCATAATGTACAGTTCTGGTTTTATAGATTGGGGTTTTTGTGATTTCTCATCTGGTGGTATTTTATTTATGGCTATATATAATATATAATAATTATTTTGATTTATTCAGAAGTATTATCTAACATTTTCATACACTTAATTTGTTACAATGTCAGGGTACTATTCAGTTAAATATGTTTTTCGGGTATATTAATTGGGTGTTTTATTATGCTTCTAACTCAGCGTGCTCTAACATAGCGTAAAACAGATTTTGAGCAGCATTCAGAAAAATATGTTTCAGGCACCGTTTATATAAATATCTTTTCGGAGCTATTTAGTTTAATATGTTGAATAATTATTATCAATTATTATTAATTACAAGATATTAGGGATAAGTTCTTGTGTCTCATCCGAAGATGCTAGGTAAACTTGGTGAAACGTTGTGAACAAAATAAATAACACTTTTATTATGTACAACCAATAAAAAACTTGCGTGAATTAAAAAAACACAGTTTTTTTCTAATATTTAATAATAGGGTAGAAGTGTTTCACCACTGCAGATAAAAGACAACTTTCGATCACCTTTTCTATATATACAAGTGTATTTATAATTCAAGATAATTCAATTGATTTATTCACTGCCTGGATCCGATATAAAAATTTATGATAACTTTGTATTACAGCAGCTCCCCCTACATTACGAAAAATTAATTAAAACAAATGTTTTCTAACTAGTTTTATTTCGACGACTAACAATAATGAAGGCCCGGCATGGCCAGGTGGTTAGGGCGCTCGACTCGCAATCTGTGGGTAGCGGGTTCGAATCCCCGTTATAATGTGACGGTCACTATTCGTTGGTAAAAGAGCAGCCCAAGAGTTGGCGGTGGGTGGTGATGACTAGCTGCCTTCCCTCTAGTCTTAAACTGGTAAATTAGGGACGGCTAGCGTAGATAGCCCTCGTATAGCTTTGCACGAAATCCATAACAAACAAACAATAATGAAACATAGCTGTATGGGTAAAAAATATATTTTCCGATATGATTGAAATAAGTGTAATCTCTGTACAAAAATATATATATAAATGTTATATATAAGCAGGTAGATGAATTGAAAACTTTGAGCCTATACATTCCTGTACTTTCAGAAATTTCATCTGTAGTCAAAAATGCACTTGTTGTGATGAAATATTTATTAGTAATTGTGTGTTTATTGAATTTCGCACTAAATTATTCGATGACTATCTGCGCTAGCCGTCCCTAATTTAGAAGTGAATGACTAGAGGAAAGGCAGCTAGTCAACATCGCCAACTTTTGGGCTACTCTTTACCAAAGAAAAGTTGAACTGACTGTAACATTATAACGCCCTCATGGCTGAAAGGGCCAACATCTTCGGTGATGGGATTCGAACCTACGACCCTCAGATTTCGAGTCGAGCTCTTTAGTCACCAGACCTATTTGTTAGTGATACAGGACTACGTGACTGGAAATTAATTTATGGAAAATCTGCGAACGATATTTTCGAAAACAGAAAGTCATAACTCAGTAAACATTTTTATACTTGTTATACGTTTTATAACAATATTCTTCTTCCGTGTCTTATACACATAAATTAGTATAGCTAAGAAGGTTTCACTGATAAGCATAAGCTGTTATTCCGTCTTACCTATTCGCTGGTAAAAAGTTTATGCTGTATATGGTTATATAACTTAGCTTCTGAAAGCTGATTTAGTTTTTGTGAATTTATTTTAGTTTTCTATTCTTATATGCTACGTATTTTATGTACTCGCATATTTTATTTGATTCAATCTTTTGTATTATTTCTAAGAATTTTTTTATTGTGTTGTTGTTGTTGTTTATTATGCACAAAGCTACACAAAGGGCTATCTGTGCTCTGCCCACCACGGGTATCGAAATCCGGTTTCTAGCAATATAAGTCCGCTGTGCCACTTGGAGGGCTTTTTATTGTATTCAAGAGTAGTGTGTATAGATAAAAAACGATTGGTTCATAAAGCTTGCCCCCCAGTGGCACAGCGGTATGTCTGCGGACTTACAACGCTAGAATACGGGTTTCGATACCCGTGGTGGGCAGAGCACAGATAGCCCATTGTGTAGCTTTGTGCTTAATCACAAACAAACAAATCATAAAGCTTAAATATTTATACAAACTCTGTGGTTGTTTACATTAATGATATAAAATTTGTACGTTGATGTAATTTTTTCTTTGTAAAAATTAAGTAACTTTGTCTAGATTTTAAGTTGTATTTTTTTTTGCACAAAACTTTTAAGTTACTGCATCGCTAAGTACATTTTTGCTCTTTGAACAATGTTGACACTATATTTTAGTAGCAATGTTTTATTATTTCATTTAGGCAATCCACTTCTGTCTGTGTTGTATTCAATCCCAGGAGGCACTCTTTTGATACTTGAGAATATAGTTTAAAGTTTTTATTAGAAAAACAGAACATTTATATTATTTTTAAAGCGCATAATCTGGCTTACTTGAAGAAGGTTAAGTAGCAGTTTTCACCGTGCGAAAAGAGTACTCACTGGATGATACAGCAAAACGGATGAACACATCATCACTGTGCTTCATGTTCTCATTTACCACTCTCATCACTGTGTATCTACACATAAACCAACAAGTCCTCTGCAGGAATACTCTTATACCATGCTAACCTATGTGGAACGTGCCATCGACAAGCAAGCCTCTGGTACTTATTTGTTATTCGCTTTCACTGAGAAAATAATACACAGAAGAAGAAAAAAAACATTCCACACCTTAGACATGTAAAGGCCATTTCCTACGAGATTTGACCAAGAATGTAACTTAAAGTATTTTTTTATTTATTTCAACGGCGTGTGACAACCAGCATTATTGTAGTTTCTATTCTTCTGATATTAAAATTATATAATAAAATACACCTGAGTTTTACGGATAGTTATTCAACATTATTTGTATAATTCTGAAAGCAGGTATCAATTTTATTTCATTGAATAACATTTGTATAACCGTGTTAGTAAATGGAGTCAGTATTATGGGTATACCAGAACATTTGTGTAACCGTGTTAGTAAAGGAAGTCAGTATTATGGGTATACCAGAACATTTGTATAACCGTGTTAGTAAATGGAATCAGTATTATGGGTATACCAGAACATTTGTGTAACCGTGTTAGTAAATGGAGTCAGTATTATGGGTATACCAGAACATTTGTATAACCGTGTTAGTAAATGGAGTCAGTATTATGGGTATACCAGAACATTTGTGTAACCGTGTTAGTAAATGGAGTCAGTATTATGGGTATACCAGAACATTTGTATAACCGTGTTAGTAAATGGAATCAGTATTGTGGGTATACCAGAACATTTGTATAACCGTGTTAGTAAATGGAATCAGTATTATGGGTATACCAGAACATTTGTATAACCGTGTTAGTAAATGGAGTCAGTATTGTGGGTATACCAGAACATTTGTGTAACCGTGTTAGTAAATGGAGTCAGTATTGTGGGTATACCAGAACATTTGTGTAACCGTGTTAGTAAATGGAGTCAGTATTGTGGGTATACCAGAACATTTGTGTAACCGTGTTAGTAAATGGAGTCAGTATTTTGGGTATACCAGAACATTTGTGTAACCGTGTTAGTAAATGGAGTCAGTATTATGGGTATACCAGAACATTTGTGTAACCGTGTTAGTAAATGGAGTCAGTATTGTGGGTATACCAGAACATTTGTGTAACCATGTTAGTAAATGGAGTCAGTATTATGGGTATACCAGAACATTTGTGTAACCGTGTTAGTAAATGGAATCAGTTTTATGGGTATACCAGAACATTTGTGTAACCGTGTTAGTAAATGGAGTCAGTATTATGGGTATACCATTACTCGAGAGAGGATACTCTTATCCACACAGTTAAAACACCTGGACATTCTTTACCTGGTATTGAGACTCCACAGAGTAACTTTAATTTTGTGTTATTGCCATTCCAGGCAATACAAGCACGGCACACGCACTTCTTCGCAACTCTACTGACCTTATCACAAGCATTTCGTTCCATACGCCAATTTTCACAATTCTACAGACTATATATCACAGAAATGTTTCTTCACAACACATACACACTTCTCAATTCTACTGACCTTAACGGAATGTCTCTTCACAACACACGGACTTCTCAATTGTACTGACCTCAACATAAGAATTTCTCTTCATAACACACACACTTCTCAATTTCACTGACCTCAACATAGGAATGTCTCTTCATAACACACACTTCTTAATTCTAATGACCTCAAAATCGGAATGTCTCTTTACGCCGTACGCACTTCTCAATTCTACAGACCTCAACATCGGAATGTCTCTTCACATCACACACACTTCTCAGTTCTAATGACCTCAACATCGGAATGTCTCTTCACATCACACACACTTCTCAGTTCTACGGACCTCAACATCGGAATGTCTCTTAACAACACATACACATTTATTGTAAGTAAAACTTTAATACAGTTGACACATGTTATTGTTCAGCTGTGGTTAAATAATCAAGAAAAATAGCTATTACACAAAATAAACAATTCTTTTTATTAAAGACCTAGTTAACGTTTGTTCTTAAATACATTTGTTCACAAATTTCTGCTTTATGGATAAGAAAAGAAGTAGCAAATTTATTCTTTAGATTTATTTGCTTGTTTGTAGAATTTCGCTCAGATTTTCTAGAGGGCTATTTGCGCTAACATTCCCTAATGATAGACAAGAGGGAATAAAGCTAGTCATTACCATCAACTCTTAGGCTATTCTTTATAAATTAATAGTGGAAATGATCGCCACTTTATATGCTGAAAGAGCGATGGGTTTCGATCCCACGATCTGCAGAGTGCATTATTCGATAGATATATAGTTGATTAACTTTGTGAATTGTTCTGGTAGGTAATGAATATTTTATTCATTTACCGGGAGACGGGAACATAGAATCTGACACTACTCTGTTAACAACGGTATACTCCTAGATCAGTCTCTGACGTTTTACTTGGAAGTTGCATTCGTTTTATGCATCCAGCTTTTACAAAATACTAACATGTATCTAGTATCTTTTGTGAAAAAATACAATTAGCGAGACTCAAGATGTTCGAGAGGTTTCAAGGTAATTGAGTACCTTACACGATAAATGAGGAGTTGAACGATTGCGCAGGTTCACTTTATCTCCAGAACATTGCAGAAGAATTAGTAAACAAGTAATCACCAAGATAAATTCGTTTATCCAAAGGTTACTTTGCAGCTCGTTCTGGAAAAGGCTTTGACGTCTCCGTGTTTTTCAAGCATTGGAAATAATCCATGACCACGAATTACACGATCTTCTACTTTTATTCTGTAACGTATTAATTTTATAGTATTGACCGTCTTTGTCCGCTGGCCTTAATGGATGGATTACGGAAGTTCACATAGGCCAGCTCAATTTTGAAATCTGTACAAACATTAGTGTTCTTTATTTATTTTTTTCATTTATGAAATTCCATTAAAGTATTCTAAGGTGAAGTTATATGGTACAGATTAGAAAATACGTACCATATAGCTTCACCTTAGAATATTTTAATGGTACAGATTAGAAAATACGTAGTTCTTTCAAACACACATATATTTCTTGCTTCCATCTTTACTTATTTTCTTTCATACGAAATAATAAAAGTTTACAAAGATAAATTACTTGTTAAATAACAGTCACATCATCACACAACATAAAAAAATGAGGAAGTTTTCAAACAACTGAAGAATTATAATAAGTGAACCATAAGTTCTTAAGAACGAACTTACAGCGTCGTTCTGATAAGTTGACCAGTTTGTTTCTGTTGACATTATGGTGAATTATAATTACGTACGGTTTTGTTGACAAAGAATGACTCTTTTATACATTAATCTAGATTAACAATAATGCCTCTAGTGGCACAGCGGTATGTCTGCGGACTTACAACGCTAGAAACCGGGTTTCGATACTAGTGGTGGGCAGAGCAGATTAAGCCTATAAACACCATATCTTCGTTGTTGTCACACACAACTGAGAGTTGAGTACTTATGGTAGTAAAATGTATTTGATGGGTTTATCAAGTCGAGCCCTTTATTGTAGTCCATGATTTTTTGTTCTAACGTTAATACCGAACACCGTGGCACCCAATCCTCCGAATTCGGTCTCACTGACTTGTAGGATGCTGGGTGTTAAGAAAAGTGCATTTGTTTTCACAAGCTTCGATCCCTCGAAAACGACACATTGTGCACTTAGATCAAGCTAACTTTGTCACTATATTCATTCTAATTCATTCCTGTCCAGACTGTAGACCACATTCCTTGAACAAGTCATAGTCACTATTTGTAGATGTCGTCAAAAAGTATATAATGTCAGATCTCAATTTATCAGCTCCCACGTGAAAAATGCTTTCACAGTATCTTTGATTTGGGTTTTTGATGGATGCATCTTGTGATCAGTATTCGTCCATTTTATTTATAAGAATGTGCTTACAACTTATATAATCCATGTAAATACTATGATTACAAAGTACCCATCGGTCTTCATTAAATGACTTAACTTATGAAAATGATTTGGAAGCGAACAATTTAAATCCCATTACTTAAAATCTTCTGAAGAGAGTAACGATAAATTACCAAAGTTTAAAATTTTTTATTAAAAGGCTTAAACAAAATAAAAACATTTGTCAGTATAGTTTTTTTTTGTGTTGATTAACATTGTGAAGTTAAACTACCAGTCACGAAGACATATTTAAGTACCTTTGGCACAGACGGGACCAGTGAAGTTCGTCCTGCTGCAGTCACAGATATAGCGGTTCCAGCCCTCTGTACAAAATCCCCCGTTTAAACATGGTTGACTATCACACTGAGGCGGTGAAGTGTGGCAGGCGGGGCGAATACTGCCCGAGTCTTGTTTCTGGGCGTAAAGAGCAATATCCACAGCATTATCGTTAACGACAAGGTCTCGCATGCAGCCGACGTAACCGTACTGCAGCTTTCCCGACCAGAGTTCTGGTGGAACGGCTATGCCTTCCGGACTTGTTCCTATTCCACCAAGATATAAGGGTCCCTCTAGATCAAGCTGGTTGGAATTGCCTGATGGTTGAAAGAACGAGTTAGAGACCATAATTTTAATATCAAATATGTTCATCTATATTACATACTTAAATTTGCTTTTGACTCTTCTTTTAAGTACGCTTACAAAATTCAGATTTCAGAATCAGTAAAAAAGGAAGATAAGTAACATGAATTGTTTTTTAATCATCGGTACTTTTATAAACGACAACTCAGACTACAAAAGAACCAAAGGTAAACACATTTTCAATACAATACAACATTGCAAGTAAAGTCATATAAATGGCTAAAACATTAGACAACAGCTACATAGCTACAAGCACATTTATTTAATACATATTTCCATTTTATATTATTTTCAGGTAAATGAATCAAATCATTCGTATTAGAATATCTTGAAAGTCTTTAGGCAAGAAAACTTTCTAAACTGACTGGATACGATTAGCTCCCTCCCAACTTATTTACATTTGTAGAAAAACAAACAAACATTTATTTGCAAGGCTAATCGTGCGATATGTTTGCTTAAGCCTTATAAACAGGTAGATGTAGTAATATTTTGAGTAGAACAAAATATTTTTTAACTTTCACAGAGGCATTATATTTTTTGCATTTGTTAAGTTTCGCGACTTGTTTTTATGTGCCTCCCAATCAGACCAAAATGTGACACACACACACACACACACTCAGCTTACAGATGCAAGTTATATATATAAATTAAATATTCAAATTGTGTTTCACTTTTCTTTTGGGCTAATGATTGTCTTAACTTGTTTTGACGTGTCATCATTTTTTTTTAAATTATAGTCAGGGATCTCAAAGATAGAAGTGGCCCGGGCTTCTCTAAACCTTTGAGAGGCCCGGCATGGCCAGATGGTTAGGGCACTCGACTCGTAATCTGAGAGTCGCGGGTTCGAATCCCCGTCACACTAAACATGCTCGCCCTTTCAGCCGTGGGGGCGTTATAATGTGACGGTCAATCCCACTATTCGTTGGTAAAAGAGTAGCCCAAGAGTTGGCGGTGGGTGGTGGTGAGTAGCTGCCTTCCCTCTAGTCTTACACTGCTAAATTAGGGACGGCTAGCGCAGATAGCCCTCGTGTAGCTTTGCGCGAAATTCAAAACAAACAAACCTCTGAGAGGGCCTGGGCATTATAGAAGGTAATCATATTCTAATGGGGGAGCCATTATTAAGAACTGTTTTGTTTTTATCGACTGTTCAAAGCCATCAGTCAATACTGGAAATGTGAAGAGAATATTTCCGATACTAGAAAGAACTACGGCCGCCAACAGTTTGTGACAGACTGAGAAATAAAACAAAAAAGGAAAGTGCAAAAGATGTCATATTTTGTCCTAATAGTTGGGAATCATAATAAAGTGACCAGTCAGTGTAGGTGAAATTATACTGGAATTATTTTGAGTATACTAAGCGTCAGTTGCATCGAATTTAAATAAATATAGTATTTCTAATATAATTATCTCCTAACTGACCAATATGATTTTTATTTATAAAAGTGGTTCATTATTATTATCTAGCAACGTCGAGCACTCCAAGTATTTTCAACTTATAGTAAACAAAATCAATATCGTTTTTTTTCTTCAAAGTAATATTTTATTTTTGAGCGCGTTTGATGGATCAATATTGGCTGATGAAGCAAAAGACTACATATAAAAACTGACCATTCTATAAAGATATAAGAATGAAAAACAGACCAGACCACTCTAAGAAGCAGCTGTATGTTGCTAATAAAGATTACATATGTAATTTTACTATAGTTTACACAAAGTTTACTGACTAATTTCCAATGATAAACATTATAGTGACTTTCATATTACCGTTATGCTTAAAATCATATGAAGATTCGTTACGGATAGTGCTTCTTTCAATGTTATTATTATAATTTGATTATTAGGAATACAAGGCTTTATATATTATGCGTTAATTGCTTTCACAAGGATCATAATCATTTTCAGCTTTTTTCGTGTTTTCTTTCCTATTAAAACAATCTCGAAATTTACTAATTAATTTGTCAAGATTTGTTTTTTCATACAAAGAGCAAACATGTTTTAAATAATTCTGGTACACGTGATCTACGTGTTATTTTACCTTGTGTAAAAAACTCAACAGAATATTCGTCTACTATTACTCGCCCGGACCTGCTCTTTCTAGTCAAAGAAATTCTATGCCAGTGACCATCGTCCACTCGACGAGTAGTGGCCTTTACCTTGACCGAACCGGAACCTAAGTTCAGGAGCAGGTAAACATGACCTGCCAGGAGCTCGAAAGCAAAAAAATCTCCTTGAGCGGTGGCACCGCTGTTATACATAAGAACACCATTGGGTTCGTTGGTTCGAATTTTGAAAGATATCCTTCCTCCACGAGGTGCATCCCAGCGTGATAAAGCCTGTGAAATAGACATGTCAAGTTTGGATGATCAATTTCTTTTTTTTTTCTATATTTTACACTTGTGTGTATAAAAAAAAATATGTTGAATTAAACATTATAAGGAGTAAAAATTAAATACAACCATAATATGGAAAAAATGTCAGCTTTCTTGAAAAGTAAGTGTTAGAATTATTCGAATAGAGCGAATGACATATTCTACATACAGATAAAAAACTGTTGTTTGGTAGTTTGTAACTTTGAAAAACAACAACAATAGAACGAAGTATATACGACATTGTACGTTAACTGGCGGCAAACACTAGGTAAAGTAATACTAATCATTAAAAAACAACAACAATAGAACGAAGTACATTCGACATTGTACGTTAACTGGCGGCAAACAATATGCAAAGTAATACTAATCATTAAAAAACAACAACAATAGAACGAAGTACATTCGACATTGTACGTTCACTGGCGGCAAACAATATGCAAAGTAATACTAATCATTAAAAAACAACAACAAAAAGAATGGAGGATGTCTGTTATCAAACTTCTTAGATCCGGACGAATATCACTGGTAAAGTATTGATTTATCCGTGAACTTGATTCAAAAGATCTACAGCTTACACTCAATTTGGTTTCCAGCGTTTGAAATCTTAAAATTGTCTTGTACATTTTGAAAATTGGATAAAAACTGAATCTGAATTCTTACAAGTTAATTAAATGAATATTGAATAGTTGTTCTAAGAACCAATGAATGAAAGCAAAGAATATGCCATATCCAGTGCCGACGAGTCCTTTCACCCAGTACCAAGGTTCATCAGAACCAGCTGGGATACGATAGACCGTCAGAATTAAAAAATAATATTATATATGTATATCGGTTTTTTTTTTTTGCCAGTTGTCGAAATAAATGGCTTTTACTTATATTTCTTAATAGTAAAACTATGTAATTGTTAGGCTTAGAATTCTTCTACTGTAGGTGTCTTGGCTTGTTAGCGATAAATTCAACGATGAATAAACA